CCATTTCAGGTCTTGGGAAAGCATAGAACCCAGGAACTTGAAGGACTCTACCACTGATACTAGGCTGTTAAGTATGGTAAGGAGAGGAGTATTAGAAGGATTCTTCCTAAAGTCCACAATCATCTCCACGTTTTAAGTTGTATCCAGTCCCAAGTAATAACAACCGCACCACAAGCCCAGTTGTTGACCCTCCCGCCTATATGCTGACTCATTTCCATTTCGAATTAGACCGATAACAGTTGTATCATCCGCATATTTCAAGATTTTAACAGAAGAATCTTTTGAAATGCAGTCATTGGTATAAAGGGAGAAAAGCAGTGGGGAAAGCACACATCCCTAAGCGGCACCAGTACTGATTATCCGGGTACTGGATGTAATTTTGCCTAACCTCACATGTTGTTTCCTACCTGTTAGAAAACTGATTATCCACCGACAGGTATGCTCAGGCACAGTAAGCTGGATCAGTTTGTTGTAAAGAATTTCTGGTACAATGTATCAGCTATTAAACGGAGTATGATTCTTTTTTAATAAACAGAAGCCCCAACAAACATAGTTCTAAACTGTTTAGTGAGACACAAAGCATATATCTTAATACCAGTATAGTTTTTGTCTAAAATTAAGGTGTCTGAATACTTTACTTTAGCTATAGTGTGTTTTTGCTCCTTTTCTGATAGGTAGGATTTTAGGATTTCTCTTGTACCCATAAGACTTCTTTTATTAATAAGCAAGAACAAAGGAGCTAAGCCATTACTCAGGTTTGCTACATGCACGAAAAAGACAGGCCCAATTGCAGGACTATCTTGAGTATGTAAAAATTCCCTAAGTTGTAAGCTCCCAAAAGAAAGAAGCAAAATTAAAGAATAAAATATGTGTCACTAGAAAGTAAGTTTTAAAATTGCCCCGTTTGGGGAAGAATGATACTGAATATTGCCTTGTGTCAGTTGGAAATTGTATGAACGGCATATGGGACTAAATTCCAAACTGGCTGAAACTATGAAAGTCACTGTTGCCTTATTCAATATTGTAGAGTAGACTACAATTTCCAGAATTCCCTGGACCACCACTGCTATGTGAGCTTTTGTCAGCAATTCAAGGTGCTAGTTGTGACCTCTAAAGCCCTACATGGCATTGGGTACTCCCGTCTCCAGTAGTTTTGGCTCATTCCATAGTCTGGCAGCACAGACCACGCTGAGCTAAATTGTTTGGCTATTGGGTATGGAATCCAATTCCAGGTACCCTTCGAACCAGTTAGGTACCCTTTTCTCATCTGAGGGCTGAGATTTCATCTCTTTGGCAGGCTTTAATGGGCTGCCTGCTTCTCACAACCAGTTCCTGTCTTTTAATACTGCAGAAAGGCAGATGTCTGCAAGAGTAAGCTTTAAAAAGTATGAGATGGATGCATTGTGTGTGTGTGAAACTATAGTCTGATGTTCTGTTTCTCTGTGATGCAGGTTCCCAACACAAATTCAGGAAGTTTTATTTACTACTTTTCTGAGGTAGAAAATAAATATGAAATAGTTGTCAGGTGGAAGTCATTTTTTTTCTTTAACTCTACATATATCTCATCCCTTTTCCAAGGAGTTCATGGCAGTGTACATTATTCTTTCCTGTCCCCACTTCATCCTTACAACTACCTTGTGAGGTACAATAGGCTAAAAGACAGACTGAAAAATATAATTTACACAGAAATTTGAAGTTGGATTTGTATCATCTTTAGGGCCTTGTTTACAAGAACCTGTATCATAGATTTCATATTGTATATAACAGAATGTTGCCTTATTTGGAATTAAAGATTTTAACAGACTTCTAGAAATTTCAAAAGAGATCCTAAATAGAATATATTTGCAATGACATTGCAGTCTGTTCATTTTCCTCTTGATATTTCTAGCTATGCAAACAGCTATTCACCTCATTTAACATTAATTTTCTAACATTTTAGTAAAATTATGTAGTTAGTTATAAATGCAATTCTTTAAATTGTTTGTGGAAAGAGTGTATTCAATTTCATCCTTGTGTATTTGTCCTAGGAAAAAAATTAAAATGCTGAATCATTTATAAACAGTGACTAAAGAATAATACACAAAAAAGTATAAGGAACAGTTTAGTGGACTCCTTCCTCATAATAGTGATAGTAATAATAATATTTAAAATTATTTGTAAACCATTTCTCATACACAATAAAAATTAGAGCAACATGCTGCATCCAAGATTCAATAACTGATACCACAAATGAATATTTGGGAATTCCATTTCAGAAGATGCATTTTTGTTGTTTGAAAGAACACTTGCAGTATAGATGCTCCTAATTTCCCCATCTGATGAAATACAAATATTAACCAGCTATGTCAAAAAAGGAGCTATGGGACACAACTTCAGTTTTGATTAAGAATGCCTTGTTGGAGAAGAGGCAAAGATTAGTAATGGCCAACTCTCCAGTATACCAGAACATCATTCAAGGAAAACTGATTAGTCTCCCAGCTGTACAATCATTCCACAGGAGATTGATATTTGTGGTTATTATGGTTATGATAAAGCAACCATAACAAATATTCTTACAAATACACTGCTTATTTCTGTTGAATTTAACCTTGAATTTATGTATGAAGTGGCCTTTCAACTTCATATCTTTCTGGCCCCCACCAAATTATAATGGACGCTTACCTTCCCAGCATGTCTAAGCACTCACACATGTCACAATCAAGGACATTTATTATAATTTCTAAAGCACTGGTGTTCTGAACAAAAAAACAGAAACCTGATTAACAATTACATATTATGATAAAAAGACTTTTTCTTGTTGCTATTGGATGTTTCTTGTTGCTACTCTTTCATTTTTCAAGTAAGAAATATTGGAAGGAATTTGTGAAACTAACAAAAAGTTCTTTTATTTCATAATATTATAAATTAATTGTGAATCTGAATAATCTGCTGAGAGTTACATGCATCCTTATTTTCAGATCCAGAACTAAATGGCATGAATAATTTGGAAATGATGGACATTCCTCCACCATTACCTCTGAAAGGTAGCATGGCAGACTATGGAAATGTCACGGAGGGCCATGAATCTATTAGCCCTGCCACATCCCCACCTGTACCTCAAAGAGTAAGTACTGTTGCTAGAAGTAAGTCTGCATAATGTTTATTGACTTGATAAAATACTACTTTTACAAGAGGTCCACATGGAGAAAATGCTTTGAAGCGAATTAAAGATCAATCTCTACTCTCCAAAGTCCATTTGCCAAAAGCTGTTAGTTCCACTGTTTCTGGGTTGTAAAATTGGAAGCCAGCTCAAGTTCTGGGTTCTTGGGATCTTCTGATGGTACATACTGTATACAAAATGGCATCTTCATTAGAATAGGAAGGAGTGCTGAGGAAGGAATTCTAAGTACATAGATTAATTGGACAATGATAGCTGTACAAACATTAAAAGATTGAAAGGCAAGCTGAAAGAATCCAAACAATAGCTTAGAGTTTATGGTTTTTCAATCTCACCCCTCACAGGAAGAAATGTGGTATCATTTAGAAAAAAATAATTTTGTTTCACAGGCATTCACAACATTTCTTAAAGGCCAGCAATTTTACCATGTGTTTTGCTTTTAGAACATGCAATTTTGTCAAAATAGTTGAGTGAAAATATTGCTGTTTGTAATTAGAAGCTATTCATTATATCCTGAGATACAGGTACAGTTAACACTTTTCCATGTTAGACCCAAACATGCAAACAAGCTGAATGGTCAGTCTGAAAATAATTTTATTGTAAAAATATTTTGATAATACATGATAAATATGGGTAATATCAATATACTAATATAGTGGAGAACAGGGAATATGGGTGTTCCCTCCATCCATTTGTCAGCAAAACAGAGCTTATAGAACTGCTATTATCCATCTTTCTTTCCTCCTGAAGTTTCCAGTGTCCCTGAAAATACTGTGAGATTATTTGTAGCAACTTAAGGAAATGCCATCTGGAAACAACTGCAAGGAAAATTATTTCACAACACACAACCCAGAGTGTCTGCATTGATTTAGCTGCTGGAAAGAGACCTGGCACCTAAAACACCTACTTTCCTTTCTTCTAGCAAGAGAAAGAGGGGAGTAGGGCTCTTCTGCTTCCAGTTCTCTGAACCTATAGAGATTGAAGAGTTGATGGCAGAAGACTACTTCTCCCACTTCTCCCTTCCAGGGAGGGAAGTTGGGTTTTTTTGGTGCTGGGATAACTAGCATCCAGAAGATCCACTTCCTCTCCAGCTTCTGCTGTAACCCATCGCTTACAAGAGAAGTGAGAGAAATGGCTTTTTGACACAATGGGAGTGTCAGAGGGTGGGTCAGGATAGGAGCTGATACAGACATACACACAGCCAGTACTTAAATGAGAGATTTTATTCTGGACACTGTGATACTTGTGCTAATGAAATAGTGTGATCTAATATTATAAACAAGTGAAAATATTATTTACAAAACCAGTATATACAAAAATGTGTAAGAAATATAAGAAATCAAGTTTTAACCTACTTTATTTTCCTCTCTCTTAAGTCTCTTTCCCTCACTTTCCGCTTGTATTTTATTATGGCTTTTACTTCCCCTCCTTATATCAATTCTTATATTAGAATGTCTGTGAGTTTTCTTCTGGTCGTCTTGCTGCCAAACAAAGCCTTTAACTCACAAAGTTCCACTGTCCAGCATTCAAATCTTCATACACACAACACAGTCTACCCTTCTGGTCTTTCCACACTCTCACAAGCTGCTCCCGGCTTTTTCATCCCAGTCCTCCTTCACATCCCAGGGCTGCAATCCCTGGGCTTGGCAGGCTGGGTTGTTGTTCCACTCCACTCCACATTAATCAGGTGACATCCTTTCCAGCAGCATGTCCTGTGGCATCAGAATTTTTTTTTTTTAAATGTACTTTAAAAAAAAAAAAGTACATTTTTACTTACCCTTTTTATATTCTTATCTAAGACATATATGTGCCATCTTACAGATGTGTTCTAGCATTTTCCCTTTCCAGCCTATGTGCTCTTGGTCTTACTGTATGCTGAGTCATCTGCCTTCCCTAAAGAAATCCATGACATTGGCACAGACTCAGCCAGGCATTTCACCCTGTCATAGGGAGACTCCTAACTTTCCCACTGCCAAAAGACAAATAAAAAACCAGAAACAGGAGGGCAATGCCTGTGGTGGCCTCAGTTGGCCATTAGGAGCAAGTTCGCATCTGCCACTGAACGTATTTCATAACAATTCACTGCAGATATACTGCTTGGCAGAAGTAGAAACACACCCATTTTTGAACAGAGCAAGAAGCTACAGGCACAGATTCCCTGGGGCCAGTCAAGGACAGTGTTGTGTGTTCCAGTCCTCAGCAAATGGTTAGTGGGGCATCTTGGTATTGAGGTAATCAGGATGCATGGATGAGCCCTACATCTTTTCTAGATGTTGCATTTAGCATCTCATATAATTTACCATTGAATCCTCACTGACATTCTCCATTCTGTAATAGAAGCATACCCTTCTACTACTATTGTTGCTTACTAGATATCCAGTAAATCAGGTGCATATGATCCTGTCATTTATTGGGCTGTAATAAACTATGCACTCCATAGTGTATTTGTAATGTGTTCTAAATAATAAATATATCTTGTAATCATCTGAGTTAATGGCATATTCCAGTCCACCCAAATTCACTTATTCCTAAATTTGGTCACTTCATTTCTGCCTTGAAAATTTCACAAGCTTCTTGGTTTGTGCTTCTCACATTCTATGTTCCAGTTGTATCTGGTCTTCTAAAGCAAGGAACTCTTCTTTCCATCTTAGTGCTGTCAATAACCAGACTTATTTGTAGCTTTGATCTTTCTCCAGTAATAAAAAGAGTACTTTCTGGCTTCCAGGAAGGGTCTCTTCATTTAGCACCCAAACTCATGTAAACTTTATAGCCATATTCAAAGAGTTTTCTTAGCAACAATATAGAAGTGATTTGCCATTACTATCTTTCAGGTTAGATTTTGGAGCATCTTCTTGGTTGTAGCAGGACCAACAGGGGTGAGAGAAGGAGAACATGTGATCCTCTTGGTGTCAGTTCTCCTGACACCACAGTGACCCAATTTCTGCCATGGAAGGAGTGCTGTACTGCAGGACTGCTGCTTGCAAAAACACTTCACCTATAATACAGTTGCCCACCATTCCAACCTCAGCTTAGATGATTTTTATATATATGTATACTGCTGACATGTGCCAACAACAGTCATTGATGATACACTGTGGAAACATGTTAAAGGGGACATGTGTCCAGAGATCTACTGGTAGATTGCTGGACATTTGTATAAACCACTGCTTCCCTGCCAGACAGAAGAACACTTTGCTGTAGGTTCTGGCAAAATAGCATCCCTGCCAGGAAGCCATGGATAGTTTCATCACAGAGGAAGCCATGGGCATCTCCACCATGGAGCTGCTGGAAGACCTGCAGTGAAGCTGCCCATAGAAAATCCTATCTAACTATCCTCATAGGTTTTTTTTTTTTTCCAGAAGGTCAACATGAATGAAGGGGATCCTGTCAACAGTGTATTCTTGGTGTCAAATGCTGAACTTGGCTTGACCATGCCTTACAAGGCAAGCACCCTAACTAACTATCCTGTAAAAGCATGAATATGTACCATCTAGTCTAACTCCAGATCCTCTGAATGTTGGGTGAAAATCAGGACCTAATTCTCTTTTTGTTCAACTTTCTCTGTCACACTTCTTCATTCACAAGACTCTGCTGTTTATCTATTCACATCCTGTTTCTGCCACCACCTTTGCCATGAGGCTTTTGGTTGTTGGGAAATGATCAGAGAATTTCAAGATATCTTCCTCTGATTTCTTTTTTACAGCAAAAATAGGAAAAATGCTTAGTTTTGTTTTCAAGTTTGAAAGACTAATTATGTAGCATCCAGCCAGTTTAGATAAAGAAATAGATTTTTAGATCTCTCCCTCCTGTTTTCCCCTTTACACAGGTTTTGTGATAACAAGGTTGGAATGTAGTAAGCCAATAGTTAATTTACAGCCTTCTGTCTCCAATGTTCTAAGTTAAATATTTCTCTGCCAAAGTAAAGCTGCTGTTATTGACAGTGTCCACTGTTGTGTGTGTAGCTATTTCTTTATCCTTCTCCCCTGTTAGAGTTAAGCAAGGGCGTGAATTGGATAGGATCCTATAAAGTTCATCTTCTTTCTTCTTCTCCTTGGCTACTTTGGAAGAGGCAAGTCTTTAGCAGCCAATGCTAGCTAATCCATGGTTAGCATTTTCTTTCCCCCTGCCCCTAGCCCTTCAAGCCTAGCTAACTCTCCTCCAAGTTCCAGTAACTCTTTTCTTCCAACACAACAGCCCCTTTTCACTTCCACTCCCTCTGATAAAGTTTCCCTGAATGTGCAATGGCTTCTTTCTTTAGTTTAACACTTTCTCCCAGGTTAGCCGCCTAGCCTGAACTTGTCAGCATACCGGATTTGTGGTTCTATTTTATATTCTGTGATGTTTAAGATTTACATGAATTTACTGGGGGAGATCATTTGGAGCTTTGGAATGGCCTCATGACACCCAGCACTGCTGCTCTAAGGGTCCTGAATCCTGCCTAATTGCTATAATAGGCCGGATGAGGAAGAACAAGCTAAAATCAAATCCAAGCAAGAGAGGTGTGTTATTAATCAAGAGAAAACTGGACATGGGATTGAAATGAAACCAGTTGTAAAGAAGGTTACACTGCAACAGAAAGAGCAGGTATTTATCTATCTATCCATCCGCCCATCCATCCGCCCATCCATCCG